AGAATGACCTTTCCAAAACTCATATGGTGTCTCTTCTATTTTCTTAAGCGGTATTCGATTGAGAAGACTATTTGTTGTTAAGATAGCCTCCCCCACAAGTTCTGAGGTAAACCCGAACTTATTAACATCACATTCATCATTTCTTTAAGAGTTCGATTTTTGCGTTCAACAATTCCATTCGATTGAGGAGAGTATGGAGCTGTTGTTTGATGAATGATTCCATGTTCGGAACAGAATTCTTCAAACGATGCCACATATTCACCTCCTCGATCTCTACGAATATTTTTAATTCGTTTGTGAAGTTACGATTCAACTTCAACCTTATATTGTTTAAATGCATTTAAGGTTTCGTCTTTGGTTCTTAAAAGAAAGACATAACAATACTTTGTACAATTATCGATAAAAGTTACAAAGTATTTCTTATTGCCTCTAGTTTGAATGAATTTCAAATCACATATATCACTATGGATTAATTCTAGCAGGACCGCATTCCCTTGAATTGAATGGAACGATGTTTGAGCCAATTTTGGTTCAACACATATTTCGCATTTGTGATTAGGATCAATTTCAAGCGCTGAAATTAAACTTTGATTCATAAGTTTGCGCAACGAATTATAATTTGTATGTCCTAATCGATTATGCCATAAACAAGACTCAAGCAAGTAAACAGAATTTGTTACTTTATTCATAATGTCTTGTTCGGTACAACAGTTAGAACGTTCATCTTGAACATTCCGTCACACATGTATTATTTTCCCATATACATCTCATTCCTAGACAACACAAATTTATCGAATTCAAATACAAGTTTGAAATCATTTTTACTAAAAAGAGATCCGGACACAAGATTCTTTCGAATATCCGGCACATGTAGGACGTTGTTGAAGACTAGCTCTTTTTCAGATGTCATCTTTAAAGTGACTTTGCCTTATCCTTCAATCTTGGAACTTGCAGCGTTCCCCCATGAATAGTTGTTCCCCTTTCAGTTCTTGATAGTTGGAGAATATTGCTCTATCAGCACACACATGACGGGTTTCACCGTTATCTACCTACCATTCCCTTGTGTTTCCAACCATGTTGCATTCGGACACAACTGCAAATAGACTCATCTCTTGCATTTCTTCAGAAAGGTTGTCCTTCTCAATCATGTTGCCTTGAGCAGATTTCCTAGGCTTTCGACATTTATTTGAACGATATCCAGTCTCTCCACAATTATAGCATTTTCCTTTGAACTTTTTCTCCTTTTTGGAGTTATCTCTACGCGGTGCATCGTTTGAGATCTTTCGTTTCTTGTTTAAAGGCCTTTGTTCTGTTTCAACAAAGTTTGCTCCAAGTTGGTCAATATGTTTCGTTTCATTTTTCCTATTGTCTTATTCAGTTCTCAAGCGGATGATCAATCCTTCCAAATTCATCTCCTTACGTTTGTGCTTGAGATAGTTATTGAAATCTCTCCACATAGGAGGGAGTTTCTCGATGATGGCAGCCACTTGAAAGGATTCACTTAGTTCCATCTTTTCGGCATGTATGTCGTGCAAGAGGACTTGAATTTCTTGCACTTGGCTTATCACAGTTTTGGTAGCTACCATTTTGTAGTCCAAAAACTTGCCTACAATGAATTTCTTGGTTCCGACATCCTTGATCTTGTATTTATTTTCCAAAGAATCCCACTATTCCTTAGCTGAGTTTTTAGAACTATACACCATATATAGTGTATTGTCCAACTCATTCAAAATGTAGTTTTTCCATAGAAAGTCCGAGTACTTTCATGCATCCAACGCAATAATAGACTCATGATTATTTACTTCCTTTATGTACGGATGGCGTTGTCTCATTTAAGAACTTTGCCAAATTGAGGGTAGTGGGATAGAATAACATCTTTTGTTGCTATCTCTTAAAATCCATGCCACTAAATTTTTTCGATTTTTCATCATGCGGGATTGAAGTGTTTATAGTCATAGGCGTAACCGTGTTTGTACCGTTTTGACTTGAAGCCTCTACAATACTCATTTATGTTACAAAAACAAAAGATTATCACAACGCAAAGTAAGGGAAAGGAACAGTGCACAAAGACTATTTCAAAATGAAGAACAAAGTATAGGTTAAACCAAAACAAAATCAATACAACCACCGACAAATATTGTCTTGAGATTGTTGGTTCCGGGATTTATGTGAGCGGTATGATGGTTGTTAATGTTTGTATCAAAACAAATTAATGTTTAACTCGCAGGAGCGTGATCAAACTATCGATCTGTGAACTTGAAAGTATAGTACAAAATCAGAAAAATCAAGGTATCAAAATGAAACAAGAAAAGGAGAAGAAAAAGAAATGAAATCCGAGGCAAGTGATGACACTTTCTCCTTAAGACAATATTGCCCCACTATGGTGCTCATGGTTGACGGCACTTGTCTCCCAAGATACAACGGATGTTTAATCTTGTGATAGCAGCACTTCACACCACAAGAACCGGCGAACCGACAGAATTTCCCCCTCTACAAAGGGATTTTATGCAAGAAAAAATGAGAGATATTTTGTAAGAGAATAAGAGTTCTCAATGCAAAATATGAGTTGGTGTACGCTTCGAAACGTCCAAGGGGTCCTATTTATATAGGAGGAAGGGGTGTGGATGAAGTGGCATGGGCCAAATCGTGCAATCTTTCGAATAGTTGCAACATTCCATCTTCGTTAGCTTTTCGCTCGAGCAGCGCTTTAAAAATTCGAGCAGAACATACTTCGCTCGCTTTTCGCTTGAGCGAGCGAGACTGTCGCTTGAGCGAACATCGAGCGACAGTGTATTTTAGTCATTTTCCACCGTATTTTCCTCCAATCTTTGAACCGCAATTTCTCATTTACCCGAAATTGGTTTCTAATGTCCAAATATACTACGATCATCTACTAAATGAGTAAAAAAGTAGGGCTTTTTACCTTTGTAATTTGACCATCGGATCAAGTCCGAATATTCAGTCAAAGTTGACACGTTAGTCACACTTTCCAATTTCATTTTTTACTTAACCAATTTCCGATCTTTCATGTTAATTTGGAAGCCAATTTCCAACAGTATCTATCCATTGCAAGTCCCTCTCTAAAAATCATTTATGGTAATTGACTCTAGAATTACTTTTGTTCTACAAAGATATTTAGCAAAGTATAAAAATTTTATTTGAGAAATTATTTGTCGGTAGATTGTGCTGAACTACACATGGAGTCATTGAATTGCTATATATTTTTTCAAGTGAACTAGTTAGCGAGTGTTTGATCGACTCAGTTTATTTACATTCTTAAGATTTCTGATTTCCACTAAGAAAAATTATTAACATGGCATTATTTTAGTCGTTTATTGTTATTTTAAAATGAAAGAGGAGGCTTCTACTAGTTAGTCTAGTTTTTTAATAGATGTATAGTAGAATAACCACATTTTTTAGATTTAAACTTGGCTTTCAGTGGCTATTATTGTTCAAGCGATTAATAATCAAACACACGGCTAAGAATTGAAAAAAGGCCTACTTTTCTTAATTATACACCAATAATTAGTTTGAATATTCTATGTTGATTACGTTACACGTCACATCATAATTAATTTGAATATTCTACGTTGGTGACCTTGCACATCACATATAAATCATACTATCGTGTAACAAACCATAAGTTAATTCCAATTTTGTCATTTTATGGAATGATCCAAATTAAAAATAATACTAGAATATCTATCAAAGAAATATCAATGTCATCTTTGTTTATCATGCTTGTTACTATGAAACGATACTTTAGGAAGATAAAAGAGTGAGATTTTTAATTACATGCTTGATATGTTGGATTGAACCATATAAAAGATAATCGATAAATTTCTTTATAAAAATTGATGAAATGTATAACTGAAAAGTTCGTAAAATTTTAGCCAAACAAACAATAAAATAGTATCTATGTTACAATGTAGTTCAAATTTTCGTACCAAACACGACTTAACATTTTACCAGGTTTTAGGTTTTGAGAGATGTCCAATTGAGATTGATAATCCAGTTAAGGATAGAAGCAAATTGGCTTTTGATTATCTTGTGGGCTATGAAGTTTGCGTACACATTACATTTAATCATATTTAAAATTTTGTTTGACTAAATTATGCGTGTGTATCCTTCATTCTACCTAAACTTGTCTAATAATTTGCAGCCTATATGCTACAGTGAGATGCATTAACAAACTCATGCATTTGTATTCCAATCTCGTGACACGTAATCTTTTCATTGCTCTATTTCCAAGAACTGTCACCTAAAAAATTGACTGAAAGTATCTACTCCAATGCTGTCAATTATATCGAACATACGGAAGACCTCGTATGAAAGATCTTTGGGACAGAGTATGTAATAGAAGATGCCTTGTGAGACAAGGATGCATCGCTTCGAAAATGTATTGCAGCCAACTGTAGTACATCTTTCAAAAGTGGAGGTTTGGCTTCTATGCATCCCTTCGGCTGAATTTTCCAAATTACTTTGACCTTTATGTCTACTCACCTCGGCTAGCTAGGCTCTGGAAGACGAAGTAATGTAAAGTGCGAGTCTTGAGCGATTTCTTGCTATTTTTTTAGTTAGATTAGTCTTATGCGGAACGAAGTGTAACAATAACAATTTAAAAATAAAAGTATTCGAGCAATACCGTTGCAGACACCATATTATAACTTTTTAACCAAGTGAACAATATCCAACCTAGCTACTACATAAAGCCCACAGAAATCTGTCTTGACATGCATTCTAGTTGTACCCATTTAGCCACCAGCCACTCTCTCTAGAATATTTATTTATACTTATGGCAGTTTGTGGGATTCAAGCACTTAGATCTTAGTTCATAAAGGTTAATTGATGATTAATCAATAGACGAGGAAAGCAGTTACTAAACTGTAAAAAAAAGGAACAAGGAGAAGAACACAGGCTGCCATTTGAAAAAGCCAAAAACATCTCCTTCAAATTAACATCATTAATTCACTTTTTACAATATGCTTTCTTCTGTATACAGTACAGACTATTCAAATTTGCCACCCAACTGGCAAATACGACTACAAATATAAATCAATCTGCTTCCCCCATTTTTCCACATAGTCCTCTTGCTTAATTTTTGAACAAATGGGTGGATTCAATCTGTTCATATGTATCTTCCCACTTTATGTGGGTATTTTCTTCTTCTCCGACTTGGCTTCTGCTCAACTCAGACAGAATTACTATGCAAATATCTGTCCCAACGTCGAAAGAATTGTAAAAAACGTTGTTACACAGAAATTCCAACAAACGTTTGTTACTGTTCCAGCTACCATTCGTCTCTTCTTCCATGATTGCATGGTCCAGGTACTCCCAAATTCATTTTTGATCAAAAAAAGATTTTCAAATTCAAATTAAGATTAATTATTTGCTCGTTTTTGTTTTCGGGTTTTTAAGGGTTGTGATGCATCAATTGTAGTAGCATCGACTCCAGGCAACAAAGCAGAAAAAGATCATCCGGATAATCTTTCGCTGGCTGGAGATGGATTTGATACTGTAATCAAAGCTAAAGCAGCTGTAGATGCTGTTCCAAGTTGCAAGAATAAAGTTTCTTGTGCAGATATTCTAGCAATTGCAACTCGAGACGTCATTGCCCTGGTTTGTAAACAATTACAATTAATTTTAGGGAAAATTGCAGCAGCGATCCCTAATCTTTTCATTTTTTGTAAATTTTACCCTAACCTTCATTTTGTGCCAACTGAGGTTCCTGATCTTTCATAAATATGCACCCGAAGTTCATTTGGACAGAAACCGTCCAAAAAATCGTTCAAAAGCACCATTCGAAAAGACATCAATATCAAATAAAACCGTTACGGTAGCAGATAGTTTAAGAAATTTTCCCCATCAACTGACGGTGTTTTGAATTGTTTTCATCTAAATGGACCTCAAGTGTATATTTATGAAATGTTAGAGATCTTCACTGGCACAAAATAAAGGTTAGGGTCCGTTGCTGCAATTTTTCCTTAATTTTAATCAATAAAAGTTACTTATAAATAACCTTACATTTTGTTAAAATAATGTACAGGCCGGTGGACCTTCATATGCTGTTGAACTGGGGAGGCTGGATGGGCTAAGTTCAACCGCTGCAAGTGTAAATCTGCCCAAACCAAGCTTCGGTTTAAGTCAGCTTAATTCCATGTTTGCTTCTAAAGGCCTATCACAGACTGACATGATTGCTCTCTCAGGTGAAAACCACAATTTTCCTTATCATTAGAATTTTACATACGTGACTCCCAAACACGTCTTAAATTTTATACCGGATCAAATCGTGTGCGATTCACTTGTTACTAATATTTTTCTTAACTGGGAGCCATGTACAAATATGTGCATACAATAATGAGTACTGCAGTAAGAGAAGAATTTTCCAATTTTACTATGTGACAGGTCTTATTGATATTTTTTATTGCCGTATGGGAGCTTCCAGCTTAGTCCACATTGTAATAAATAAGTTCATTTGAATTTTCAACTAAGTCACATCCTCTATCATTAAGGTCTTGGAAATATTAATTTTAGTACATCAGATTTAGCCCCCGTTTTGACAGTGATCAAAATTAGATTTTATAAAAGTTTTAATATAAGTTGATAAAATGCGTGGTCGAAAAATTGTGAACCCGTAAAATATGATTAAATTAATTATTCATTTTGATTTAAATTAAAATCTAAATTTTAATCAATACAAAATAGGGGTTAAATGTCAATTGCCTAGTCCAAGTCCACTTTTCCTGCATGGTAGGTCATATTCTTTCTTGCCAATCCATAACGTAATAAACAAAGATCGTAATCATTGATATTGTTCATTTGAATTTTCAATAAAGTCACCATCTATATATTACTCAATAGAAATATTAATTTAATATCAAAACCATTGAAAATATATTTGGTATGTTAGGTGTCTTGTCCAATTTTAGCCGGCCAAACATGCAATATACCATCCAATTAGAACATGCTCAAGAGATACTTACCAAACTAGTTTCAAGATGGTTAAGTCACTTCAAAAAATAATAAAAAATAAAAATAAAAAAGAGAGGTTAAGTAAGCCGCAAAAAATGTGAACTAATGATATGAGTCATTACATTTGTAAAATAATGAATGTATGATTACTATACTTCATTTGATTTTTCAACTTTTCATAAATGATGATTGCTTGAGAGAGTGATTCCACTTTCTATTTTCTGTGCAGCTGCCCACACAGTAGGATTCTCACACTGTGACAAGTTCTCAAACCGGATCTACAATTTCAGTAGCCGGAATCCGATCGACCCGACCCTGGACAAGCAATATGCGGCCCAATTACAGTCCATGTGCCCCAAAAATGTGGACCCAAGGATAGCTATCAACATGGATCCAAACACCCCCAGAAAATTTGATAATGTATACTTTCAAAATCTTCAGCAAGGGAAGGGACTTTTCACTTCGGACCAAGTTCTGTTCACAGACTCGAGATCGAAGCCCAATGTTAATTTATGGGCCAAAAACAGTCAGGCCTTTGAAAAAGCCTTTGTCCAGGCCATTACCAAAATGGGCCGGATCGGCGTGAAGACTGGGAAGCATGGGAATATTCGCTTTGACTGCGGAAAATTTAATTAAAGGCTCGCCATCTCTTCGACAAATCAAACACGACTTTGCATATGGGCAAGTAAATAAGTGCACAAAATGTTTTAAGAAAAAAATATTTCATTTCAATGCAATCAAGAATAATAAAACAAATTGCTTTTGAATGACTAGGTACATTTACAAGTAAAGTATTCCAAAAATTTTGTGAAATAATAAATGAAACGCATGAGTTGTACAAAGTTTGTTTTACGTGAAATTGCTCACGCCAAGATTTGCTAACAGTGTCATCGTATGCAGATATACTTGTAGCATCTTACCTAATATGTCTCGTCGATGTTTATGCTTATCGACCCGTACGTGGGGGAGACAACCCTGATACCCAGTGAATCATTGAGAAATTATATAAATAAGTGACTATCTATAACATTTGTACGTTTAAAGAACCTAAGATCAAGAAAATGACTTGTTACTCATCTTCATTGCTAACCAAAGTTTACAAGAAGTACGCCCCCAGGGCACATCTCTAAGTGGTAAAAGGGGAGGGTGGAAAAATCCAGCTTTACTTGAGGCTACCGCGTCAAGGATTCGAATCCTGAAATATGGATTTGGCTCTTGAGTAAGTGCAAGTGTACAAGCAGCCTTCCACCCTATACCCTTGGAGGCATAACCTGCGATTTACCTCTCTCACGATATTTCAAAGTAGGGACGGTGGGGGACCCTTAAAATTGGGGTTCAAGTTTACAAGAAGTACAAAAGGGTAGGAGAAACTTAACAGCTTATTTGGCCCCCTACTAATCCAATTTTTTCAAACATTTTAAAACAATTGTGGGCCCTAGGCAAGACAACATTCACGATTCCTATGACAGTAACTAATATAAAATGCCAGATAGTCTTGAAGTGACATTTACTACTTTTTTACTTTCCATTAATGCCCTTCGATTTCGAGTAGGTGGCTGGCACTTGTGTATATTTCTAACCGTCGTGCTGGTTGTACAGGCCACACACAATCGAGGTGGACGATTATATAAAAAAAATAATAATAAAATAAAAATTCACCACCCCCTCTTATGTATGTGACCTGTACAGGCCCTCTGAGGACAAAATAGGCGGAACGGTCTCAACGGCATTATCCAATTTGTATCTGGTTTGACACAATTCTGACTTCTTGTAGTGTGTTATCATGTCACTACAGTAGGAAAATAAGATTTGATCAAAAAAACTCATTAAAATGAGTACCAAATGGAGCTTTGAAAGCTCAACAAATTCAGTTTAAAGCACTAGATTGCAATCAGTGCCCTATCATGTTTATTCTCTGGGGGAAAAAAAGAAGAAGAAAAAGAAAAAAAGGACAGTATAGTCATTCAAAGTGAACTCAATCAAAGGGTATAAATCCATCCATATCTTCTGAACTTGCTTGCTCATGTCTTTTTCGTTACCCATAAACACAAGCAATTTTTAGGTGAATCGTGCTGCATGTACATAGGCCCCTGTCAGACAACACACATGGTGAGGCCCAGCGTAAATTTATTATTATTATTTTTTTAACATGTGGGGCCGTCTCTACAGTGAGGGATCGATAAGACCCCTGTATGACTTTTTTGGCTTATACGTTACTAGCTAATCATGGGCCCAATGGTTTGAAAACACTGCTTCTAATTCAATTCCGCATAAAAAAATGCTTTAACCTGCCCGTATGTCATATTGCTCAATTTACTTATGCCAAATTCAAATCACCATCCCGTCCACGTTTTAAAGGCAAAAAAACAACAACAAATCGTTCACATTGGATTATCAATATATTCATGGAAATTCTTATCCAGCTAATTTGAAAAAAAAATTAGATTTTTAGTAACTTTGATAAAAGTTGATAAAACGTGTAATTGCTAAATATATATGGATCCATTAAATATGTGATTATAATTAATTATTAACTTTGACTTAGATTTTAATTCACCTTTTAAGTTGAATCAAACAAGGACTAAGTATATTGTACGCATCTTTTCTCCTTTCAAGTGTGGGTGAGAGAAGAGGGATCAGCCATAAACTTTAGATTTTGGAAAGGGAATGGTCGAAACCAGCCATAGATAAGTTTATAGCATATCAAGCAAGATCGGAGTAAGATCAATGTAGCATATATCAGCAGCATGTGTCATTTTTTATTTTCAAAAATACATTTTCATTAGGACATTGACCCTAAAATTATCATTTTGAGACAAGAATGTGTCACCGTCCTGACTGTTAGGGGGAGATTTCGTAATGCAAAATAAAATTTGACAGATTTTACCTAATATTTGTTCCGAAGAAATAAAACTATGAAGAGGATCGTGCCCCTTTCTTCACATAAGCAATCATTTTTAAAAAAAATTAACTACATATTCTTTCAATAAAATAATTTTATAAGTAAACTCAAAATTTTTCCTACATTTTAACTACACGTTTTCAAAAATTCACTATTATAAATTCTATTTTCCAAAAAATGGAGCTCAAACAAATCCTAAGAAATTTCTGCTCAATTTTAAGAAAAAAAGTTTAGAAAATGTGAGAAACTGAAAACTTATCTGGCAATTAATCAATAAAAGATTGACCATCTATCTTTTGACGTGGCATATTAAGGGACTAATAAGATAAAAACGACATGCATGTTGTTACTAGAGCACCGTTTGACCCCAGTTAAATTTTATTTCATTTTTTTCTCTTTTATTTTTAATCACACAATTTTTCATAAAATAATATTAGACGTAAACCGATAACATTTTCAAAATAATAATAATAATAATAATAATTATTATTATTATTATTATTATTATTATTATTTCACTCATTTTCGTTTTTAAAAATGGGGACCAACCGGTGCTAGGTGACAAAGTTTACAACCGACCTAAGTCAATAATCGAGTTGAAAAATAATGTGTGATAGTCACGTGCTAAACACTCCAACTTGCAAGCTTTATAGTAACTATTAATTGTAAGGCCCCGTTTGTTACTATAAATTGTAAGGCCCCGTTTGATTCTCATAGATTTAAGTCTCTCTATATATAAATTTTCATTTTTAATAATGGGGACCAAGCGGTGCTAGGTGACAAAGTTTACAACCGACTCGAGTCAATAATCGAGCTGAAAAATAACGTGTGAGAGTCACATGCTAAACACTCCAACTTGCAAGCTTTATGGTAACTATTAATTGCAAAGCCCCGTTTGATTCCCATAGATTTAAGTCTCTCTCTATATAAATTTTCATTTTTAAAAATGGGGACCAAGCGATGCTAGGTGACAAAGTTTACAACCGACTTGAGTCAATAATCGAGCTGAAAAATAACGCGTGATAGTCACGTGCTAAACACTCCAACTTGCAAGCTTTATGGTAACTATTAATTGTAAGGCCCCGTTTGTTATTATAAATTGTAAGGTCCCGTTTGATTCCCATAGATTTAAGTCTCTCTAAATAAAACTTCTAAGATAATTCACTCTCAAGTATAAGACAATTACTCTGCTCCTACCAAAATATTTACCAAAGAACAAAAATACAAATTTGTGTTGAACAAATTCTCACACCTCTCAGTGAACAACACAGAGTCGTTGGATTGCCATATATTTTCTCATGTCAATTGAGGAAACTTGGGAGCTACTAAAGTTCCATTTTTCCTTAGTTGGCCACAGTAAAATCAATTAACATTAGCAATTTTACTGAATTTCAAAATTCTTATCCATAAACCCCCTTTTTTTCATCTATGTAAAAAAATCAAGTGGACTGATGTGTAGAATACTAGCTGGCAATGACTATTATTGTTGAAGCTAATAATCAAACGAGGGGATAAAAAAGTAGGAAAAGCAATCTTTTCTACGAGGTTAAATATATTCACACAACAGCCTTTCAAAAACAACTACGTTTTAATTGCATGAAAGTTCATAACCTTTATATATTATCATATTTATATCACAAACTTTTTTTTTCGTATTTTTATTCTCAAATTAACATAAATTGTTCTTAATTATGATTTCTCTTCAAAATTTTATTTAAGATAGAGTAAAAAGACTGATTTACCCATTGTATTTTTAAATAAGTAAAACAAATTATAATATAAAAATGCCTCTCTCGAGGCCATTACGAAATGGGAAGACTGGGACGAATGGAGATATTCGTTTGGACTGTGGAAAATTTAATTAATGGATCGCCATCTCTTCCACAAATTATCGCTCGTCGATGATGTTCGTAATTCCGATTTGTGCAATATCCAGACGAATCACAAAAGCCAAAAGTCAAATCATCTTTATAGTTGCATGATTTCTTTCGCTACATTCAGTCGATGTTTAACTTAATTTTCCCCTGATTTGCTTTAACCGAATGTAAAAGGAATGGAAAAAACTTCATTGCGGCAACTAAAAGAAACACTTAGAACAAGTGGGTAAAGAAATCTCAAGAAAGGTCAAGAACCAGTTGATATTAAAAAGATGAAATATAAACCTGGAATATAAAATGAAATTAAAAACCTTAAGAAACAGGCTGTAAATCAGTTTATAAAAAGAGGCAAACCTCAAGAGTAAGGTCATGAACCAATCGATAAAGATAAAAAGAAAAATCTTATGAATAAGGTCATACACAGAAATAAAAAGGAAGGAGAAACCTTAAGAATGGATTGTAAATTGAAAGATTAAAAAGGAAAAAACCTTATGACAAGGTGGTTGTTATAATTCAAGCCCACATAAGGCTTCCAAGATCAGAGAATCATTCACACAAGAACATAAACAGAAACCAAGAAGATCTACGCAAGAATGTATACGTGGTTCGCCAGTTCGGTGCAATTACTCACCTAATCGAGCTAATCTGCACCATGAATCTAAATAGGGTTGCAGGTCTTTGATGCAATTGCGGACCAGATCCAAAGGATCAAAAGTATATATGGGCCCCTTAGCAGAAGAAAAACCACTTTCAATAGCCCTGTAAATCGAACATGCCAAAGAATAAGACCATAAATTTCATCAGGATCCTCATTTTATAGAAACAATAGCAAGAAATTGCACTCAAATGGAATGTTTTAGATACATTAGAACATGCAATTATGATAGAATGTTAAATGATTAAGTAAATAAGGAAATTAATAGAAACTCTATAATATGAGCAGCCTCGGCACATTTTTCCAAGCTCCACCTTGTGATTCATACTCAAATTTGGCTACTTGATTCATTGTGGCCTGGAATATTTTCCCAATGGGTCTTTGGAGTTTTCTCTTAAGCATTAGGTGTCAGTTCAATATAGTTTTCAATCTGAGTGATTAGGAATTTGTTAGCTGATTTTTTATAGTTTTACTTGGTCAGTAGCTTTACTTTCGTTTTATTACTGCATGTTACAACGGAGTCCAACTGAGTCCTATTTTCTTGTATTAGTTGGCTAATATTCAGCAGTTTGTTGATGTATAATGTCCATGTAAAATAGATTTTTACATGCAACCAACCAGAATGTAGGAATATGGATACACTAATTAATTTCTAGGATATTTAGCAACTTCTTGGTTGCTACTCATTTGATTATGCCCACGTTCACAAATCATAATTTGTTAGTAAAATAAATAGGACTCTTTATTTCAAAAAAAAACCTATGTTTTGAATAGTATTTTTTGGAGAATGAGTCATTAAAAATAATGAAAAGTTTTAGGTTTACGTATAGAATATTTTATTGCGTGAATGTATAATTGAAAATGAATATAAGAAATAGATTAAAAGTAAAGTAAATTAAATGGAATCAAACAGGAGCTTAATGTTGATATATGTTAGAATAACTCATTAGTTTTCAGGCGGGGGTTGAGAAATTTATGTAGATTTATGTTATTAGAACAAATAGACTGTTAAATAAACTTCAAACTACTAAATTTCTAGCATGTTTTAATTAGAACATAGCTGTTAATGTGTGTCAATTTTTAAAATATAGAAACAAAAGCAAAATTTTGAAAAAGAACAAAAGTTTAAAGTGTCTCCAAGAGACTATTTTATAAAGGAATTTTATCATTTTTATGTATTTTCACACACTCTAATAGTGTTTTCTATTTTGACTCTTCATTTTTTTCCCCCAAAAAAACATTTATTAATTCCTCCTCATTGTTTATTTAACATATTAAATGACCAATTAATTCAAAAATGATTAGAATAATTTAATAAGTAGAATATTGAAATATATGCAATCATTATAAATTGAGATAGAATGAGTTTAACTCTTCAACTTTTTATTTTATAAAGTTAAAACAGAATCTCTTGGAGCTTATTTTTAAAAATTCCCTCAAAAATAGAAAGCATCATGTATTTAAAGAATCTCTTAAAGATGCTATCAGGCAGAGTCCATTTATTAGTGAAGAAAATTAAAAACAAAATCAAAAGTTAAAAATAAAATAAAATAAAATAGTGGACTCTCCTTTTGGAGAGTCAAATGTAGGACTCTCAGGCAACAGATGGAGAAACCAAGAAGAGTTTGTTGAGCTCTCCGCTTCCTTGGACATTACATTAACTCGGGATTATGTAGAGTCCAATGCAAATAATGCTTTTTTAATTTAAAATATAATTAATAAATTAAAAAGAAAGCAAATTTTGAATAAAATATTGGAAAGTCCAATGGACTTTCCATTTATTAATGAGTTTAAGTTGGACTGAACTCTCCAACTAAAGAACAACATACCTCATTAATTGGACCATACATTAATTAATGGAGGAAATTACGAAAATCCAGGTGTTTAGAGATTAGAATTCAAACATCACGGATGAAATTTCCTTATGTATAAATCAGGTACCAAACATAAAAACCCTAATTCATTTGCCCAACCTTCTCTCTCCCCCACCACCCGTCTCTCCAGACTCCCCTAATTATTTTCCCTGCTCTCTATCACAAATAACCATTGGAGATTCTCACCGACAGAGACGTCGCCACTGTAGCGACGACGTTGTGAAGACTGGTGCCGGTTCCGATGTGAGACCGGCGCTACTGCAAGAAGACATGCGCGTCTGCAAGAGACCAGGAACGTCTTCTCGCGTCATCGCTGCTGTGTGGAGATGTGCAGGTATGAGCACTGTTACATGATGGCGCTCAAAGTGATTCTCGCGTCCCCGGATCTGCTATAACGTCTTCTCTGTTGAGCGTTGATGTGGGGGGTGTTGGTGATGTAGGGTGATAGTGTGGCGTGGGGTATCGCACGTCGGTGCTGCTGGCTTCTCTGTGCGGCATGGATATTGGTGGTATTGGTCAGGTTTGTGGGGGTGATGGTGCGATGGATATAAGTATGATAGCGGTGGTGGCGATAGCAGCGATGGTGGTCGTGTTGCAGTGGTGATTTGGGCTGTGCAGCATGGATATTGGTGGTGTTGGCGAGGTTTGTGGGGGTGACGGTGTGGTGATGGTGCGATGGATCAAGGTAGGACAGCGACGGTGTTGATAGTGGCTACGGTGTTGATAGTAGCGACAGTGGTTGTGGTCAGTGTTTGGTGGTGGTTCTGGCTGTGTTGGTGAGATGTGGGTGGTGGTGATGGTCGTTGATGCAGGTAGTGGAGGTGGCCAATCTGTGGTATGTGTGCGGTTTTGTTGGTGCGATGTGGGTGGTGGTGTTATTTGCTAACGGTGTTGGTGCACTGTGGACAGAACGGGACGTGGTGTGCAGCGACGATGGTTGTGGTGATGCAAGTTGATGGTTTGGGTTGATTGTGGGTGTTTTTTTTTTTTTTTTTTGTTGGTGGTCCGTGACCTTAAAATTTGATGGTCTGTGACTAAAAAATAATATGTGACCTCAACGATTTGGTTGTGACTTTAAAATTTGATGATCTGTGATTAAAAAATAATCAGCGATCCATAAAATTTTTAATTTGTGACCTCGAAATAATCTGTGACTTACATGATTTTTCAATTGTGACCTCGAAATAATATGTGATCAATTAATTTGATGATATGTGACCTTTAAAAAAAATTCTGTGACCATTAATTGTTTCACCGTGACTTTATTATATTTATTTAATAAATATTTTTAATTAATTAAATCTAAACCTGAATTTTGAATTTTCACATGAATTTTGAAATGGTTTAAAAAATACACCTTAAATATGAATTTTTCCCATGTTATCATTGCCCATATTGGACTGCACCACTAATGGCATCACAGCCCAACATGAACATTTTTTTTCCAATATAGGCAATAGATGTTGATTTCGATCAAAATATCAAGATGGTTGAAGAGGTTGATGGATGTCACGCGTTGTGTTTGGGATCAAAATGGGAACAATGTCATCCAGAAATGCAATGAGCATGGAAAGCCACTTGAGAGCGATATGCTATAATTTAGGAATTAACTGGAAAAGTCACTTGGATACAAGGGATTTGCCCATTTTTCGAGGTCTCAAACGGACACATGTAATTGTTATTTTTTTTGAAACACGTTTGCTAATTTTTATGCTCATAATAATTTATTTCTATTTTGTGGGTTTACTATCCTTCAAGTCAAATATTCCTTAATTTGTGTTTATTCTCTCTTAATTACATTCTTTAAATAAACCTCCATTAAATCTCACATCTATTTCGTAACCTAACTTCTTAATTTATCGCCTTTTAATGCACACAAATTCAACAGCAAACCACTTTTAATGTTTGAATTGTGAGTGCCGATCGCTTCTTCTTTAATTGAATGGCAAATAAATTATACATTAAGATCTTTGACTTCACATTCATCTTTCACTACCATTAATTTTCTCAAAATTATTTTAAACAATTTAATTTAAGTTATTGTTATATAAGCTGAAAATAACAACCTAGTTTAGACGTATCTATATATGGTAAATACGATTAATTGTGTTGATTCGCACGAATATAGAATAATTATATGGACTTGAAATACCCAAAAAAAAAAAAAAAAAAAAAAAGGGGGGGAGAG